TGGCTTGGGTGGGTTCCTTCTGGCTGGGAGTTTCCCAGTGAGAGTGAGGAGGAGGTTCAGAAACTGGGGTCTTGTGGGCGAACCCAGTGGGCCCTGCCAGGGTCTGTCTTTCATTCTTGATTGTACCATAGCCATCACTTCGCCTCCTCACCTACTACCCCTGGGCCCTGCTTGGCCGCAGAAGGCAGAGCCCTCCCTGTTTTGCTGGTCTTTGGGGTCTAGCCTCGTGTCTGGCACTTAGCAGTCCTGCTGACAAGAGACTCCCAAGCGTTCCTATGCGCTGGGCTCTGTGTAATCACTTCACCAAATTAATCTCATCTTCTCAGTTCGACCGTTAGTGTAGACATCACTTAGCAAATGTCTGTGGAATGAGTGAGTGAGTATGTGAAAGAAACGTCTCAGGGGAATACACAAAAAACATCACTTGTGGCAACAAATATTTGGGCTGATTCTCATCTCTTGGCTCTGAGTGGAAACCATAAGCCCAAAGAAAGCCTCCTGCCTTCCATCCTTTTAAAGCAGGCTTCCTCATGAGCCCAGCCCCCTCTTGGATAGGCAGGAAGAATGGCCCCTCACTTTTTTAGAGAGAGGATTGGCCAGCGTTCGTTTGTATCTGGGGAAGTTTCATGGTCTCGATCCAGGAGGGCAGGACCAGACAACCGGTTCTCCTAACTCATCGTGGCCAGGGACAAAGGCAACAGCTCATCTATTCTAAAACCAAAGAGACTTTTTTGGGAAGCTGTTCCCCAGCTCTAAACTGCCTTATAAATAATAGCATAGCCGACAACACGTCATTCCATTACCTCAGCAAGCATTCCCTAAATTGCTCCTCTTGGTAAATGTGCCAGGAAGTGAGGTGGCTCCAAGAGAGGCTCCTAGGGGCCAAGAATGTTTCAGGGATGAGACGGGGCTTGGATTCCAGCCAGTGCTTCTCTCTAGGGGGTGCTGTTCGAATTTGAGGCAGGATCTTTCTTCCTTGTGTGGCCTGTCTGGAAGTGTCCTGCCCACTAAATACCAGTAATCCTTTCTTCACCACCGATACAGTCATAAACCACCCCGCCCCCCAACACACTCTGCCTCCTCCAGGATGGCAGGGGTCTGGGGAGAGGAATCCACTGGCTCCTGCCATACGCTTTTCCCCTCAGGCTAAAATTACTGTGGCCTTGCTGTGGGCACTGGGCCCTTGGGCCTTCAATGACTTGATTGTCTGTGCTTAACAAGCCATAGACGGAATTCTCTGGAGAGAAATCAGAGCTTCTTCCCTTTCCTCCCAAGAGAGGGTGGCTTTTGGTCAGGCAAAAATCCTCTGATGATTCCTCATATCCATGTCAGCATGTAGACCTTTTCTCTTATCTCCTCATTTGTCTGGAGAACCCTTATGGGTCTGTATTCAACAGATTTAACATTGTCACAACACAACATCTCAAGTTCACTGTCACCTCCTACGTATCAACAACACAGCGAAAACCAACACTGGTTGCCTTGGGAGAGGGGAACTGCGTTGCGAGATAAGCTGATTTTCACTGTATATTCCTTTGTACTTTCTGAATTCAGTCCTGGACATACCTGTAATCCACTCTAGCAGTTAGAAAGCATGAACGTGTGGTCATATTTCAATTTAATTCCTGACTTTTGAACTCCCCGCTGTTGTTCTCTTCTTTTTGCTTCTACACTTGATTCATGACTTCCTGTTGTGTTCCATAGATTCCCACAAACTTCCCTTAAATTATTTTTGGAAAAGGTAGGAGTATAAATGAGTGAACTCCTGAAGAGAATAGGGAAAAAAAGAAAAACCAAAACACTGAAACTATTCAAAATGTATCCTCTTTTTGGGGCTCCTGGGCGGCTCTATCGGTTGGGGATCCGACTCTTGGTTTTACCTCCGGTCATGATCTCAGGGTGGTGGGCTCTAGCCCTGCATCAGGCTCTGTGCCCAGAGCACAGTTTGTTGGGATTCTCTCTCTCCCTCTGCCCCTCCCCAGCTCCTCTCTCTCTTTCTCTCTCTCTAAAATGGAAAAATAGGGGCACCTAGGTGGTTCAGTCGGTTAAGTGTATACTTTCGGCTCAGGTCATACTCTCAGGGTCCTGGGATTGAGTCCCACATGGACTCCTTGCTCAGCGGGGAGCCTGCTTCTCCCTTTGCCTCTGCCAGCAGCTCTCCCTGCTTGTGCTCTCTCTCTCTCTCTGTCAAATAAATAAAATCTTTAAAAATAAATAAATAAAATCGGGGTGCATGGGTGGCTCAGTGGGTTAAAGCCTCTGCCTTCGGCTCAGGTCATGGTTTCAGGGTCCTGGGATCGAGCCCTGCATCGGGCTCTCTGCTTGGTGGGAAGCCTGCTTCCTCCTCTCTCTCTGTCTGCTGCTCTGCCTACTTGTGATCTCTCTCTGTCAAATAAATAAATGAATCTTTGAAAAAAAATAAATAAAATGAAAAAAATGTCTTTATAAAAATTCCCCTTTTCTAGACAATGAGAATGACTGGGAAAACAAATTCCCTCTTGACTGTTTCTTTCATTTGGTTCAGGACATTTATATGTCTAAATCTAAGTCAGTGGTTCTTTTTTTTTTTTAAGATTTTATTTATTCATTTGACAGAGAGAGTGAGAGATCACAAGTAGGCAGAGTAGCAGGCAGAGATAGAGGGGGAAGCAGGCTTCCCGCTGAGCAGAGAGCCCGATGTGGGGCTCCATCACAGGATCCTGAGATCAGCACCTGAGCCGAAGGCAGAGGCTTAACCCACTGAGCCACCCAGGCGCCCCTAAGTCAGTGGTTCTTAACTGGGGTTCCTAACTGGAGGTGAGGGGGCAAAAGGGGATGATTTTACCTCTCAGGGGATATTTGTGTCTGGAAACATTTTGGTTCTCACAGCTGAGGCGGTGCTGGTGCCATTGGCATCCGGTGGGTAGTGACCAGGAATGCTGTTAAGCGTCCTACAATGCTCAAGACGGCCGCACGTCCTCCCCCAGCAAAGAATTGTCTGATCCAACATATCACTAGTGTGGAGGAGGAGAAATCCTGGTCTAAATCTCTCTGACATAATCTTCTGTAAAGCCTTCGTATATTATCACTTTCCCAAACTAATAAAGTGACTTTAAACCCGAAAAGGGCACTGTGTATGTCAAGTGTACTCAAAATTTCTCCTGTTTTTGTATCATTACCCTCCACCTTTACCCCATGCCCCATCCTCAAAATCTTCCTGCTCTCTACTCCATGGCTTCGCTGACTCTGAAAGTCTGTTGTCTCCTGCGTCAGTACCAATAAGACCCTATACTTGGGTAAGGCTCTATCTGGCCTGAGCTGTTGCCACCCCTCCCACCAGCCCCATCTTACCTAGGGCTGAGTTGCTCCCAGCTTGGGCTCCTTGGCCCTCTATCTGAGGTTGGGTGTCATAAGGTGGGAAGGGACTGTTTGGAAAGATTTCAGGATGGACCTAGGAGAGGCCATGTCTAGCTCAGGATTCAAGGGACATAGATGTTAGTCCTAAGGTGTGGCCTTTTGGAATTTCAGATGGAAAGCCAGAAGGGTTTGCCCTGCTCCTCTAACATGGAGGAATCGAACTCAGACTCTTTCTCTGTGGCCCTGGATAGCAGCCCGAACCTCTGCTCAGCTTTCAGACGCCCCAGCTCCCACCGTTTGCTGGGCTCTTGGGACATTTCTCCTTGCATAGCTCAGCAGGCAGGCAGCCTAGGATTGGAGGGGAGTTTGTGTTCGGAATTGAAGGCTTCCTCTTCTGGGGCATCCTTCCTTCCAGGGGACTCACCTTCCATCTTCAGCTACTCTGGAGTCCCAGACTCTGTCCTCTGACTCTTCAGGGGAAAAAGTTTGGGACTTTCCACTGGAGTTTCAGCCATCCCCTGCCCCTTTAGACTGGGAAGTGCCCTCAGTAAATAATCCATTTGCACGTAGATGGTTCCCTTCATTCAATCAAGGATTGGGTCCTTTCCCTTGCTGCCCTGCCTTGGGGTACTTGATCGTGCTTTCCAGGAGTCGTTTTTCATATTTTGTTTATAATTTTTCCCTGTGGGGGGATTCATGGGATACAAACAATGGTGCCAAGAGGGGCCACTTTTCACTTCCCCTTAAACCTGTATTTAAAGTGCATCGCTTTTATCTCTGGGCTCAGGGACCGCTGAGGTGGGGCAGGGGACACATTTACAGGACTAAGGGCAGAGCTGGCCTCGCTGGGGCAGGCTGCACAGGCCAGGTTTTGAGTCAGGCTGTGAGAGCTGGGCAGGACTGGAGACCAGACAGGGCAACACGATGGTGACTTGGGCACTGCGAGTTCAAGGTGGGGGGCCAGCGAGCCAACCAACCTCAGCCTGGCTGGGAGTGGGGGTTTCTGAGCAGAAAACCTCCCTGCATAGACTCCACATTAAGAAACAGCGGCAGCATTGTCCTGTTGCCCCTGTACTGATCTGTGAAGGCCCTTCACTGAGGTGCTCCCACCCCGGGTGCTCCCCATTCCCTGGCCCTTCTGTGGCCCAAGGTTGCTTCCCAGGCTGGCTGTGAGCCCAAGATCTCTGGAGGGGTAGTCTCAGGGGGCACCCTCAGGGGGCACCTTCCACAAGGGAGCAGAAGGGTGCAGAAACTTATAGGGATATAGTCATGCCAGAAGCCAAACGGAAAGGCGGACCTTCAATAGTTCCATTGAAAGGACACACACACACACAGGAAGTGGACACATCTCCGCTAAATATGGGTCAGCACGCATTTAGCACTCAGCTGCCGTGAGCCCACTCCTGTTCATTCCAGCACCCAGCACTGCCTGTCGATTCTGAGTCCAGTCTTTTATCCTCCCCAGAACACACAATCGGCTTTGGGTCCACAAAAGGTTTATCATGGGGGCTTGCACATCTCTAATCTCAAACTTCATCCTTAGGAGGCTTAGGGTCAGTACTGATCATTCAGGGAGCCGGAAAGGGGCTTTGGAGGTGGGGGATGTGGTGGTGGGACGGTAACCTATAAGAGGAATCAGAGAGGGTGGGGGACATCCCTTGAGTAAGATGTCAGGGGAGGAGGAGTTTTATCTGTTCAAGAACATCTCCTTGGTGGGGCCATGGGATGGGCCTCAGTACCACATTGCCCCGGTCTGGGCCTTCCGCCTCCAGGCAGTCTTCATGGGCTTTGTCTTCTTTGCAGGGACACCACTCAATGCCACGGTGCTGGTGGCCACCCTCCGCTACAAAAAATTGCGACAGCCACTCAACTATATTCTGGTCAATGTGTCCCTGGGGGGCTTCATCTACTGCATCTCTGTGTCCAGCGTCTTCATCGCCAGCTGTCACGGATACTTCATCTTTGGGCACCATATTTGTGCTTTGGAGGCCTTCCTGGGCACTACAGCAGGTACTGCCAGGGAAGGAGACTTGGGGGAAACAAAGGACTGCTTCAGGATTAGAAGCAGGGGCCAGAATGTTGGGTTAGAGTGGGCCCCTAAAGGAGGAGCCCGGGGAAAAAGGAATTTGGTGCTCTTTATCATTGGGGTACAAAGCAGCCGGGACTAGAAGTTTAACGGAGTCCCAAACTCCACAGCAACCATCAGTCCAATCCCTTCTTTACCCCTTCTTGCTCCACCGTCTGTAAGCCACTCTGCCTGCCAGGCTGGGTGTGGCTGTCTACCCCAATTACTCTCACGTTTCACTACAGGTCTGGTGACAGGCTGGTCACTGGCCTTCCTGGCCTTTGAGCGCTACCTGGTCATCTGTAAGCCCTTCGGCAACTTCCGCTTCAGCTCCAAGCACGCACTGATGGTGGTCCTGGCTACCTGGACCATTGGTATTGGCGTCTCCATCCCACCCTTCTTTGGCTGGAGCCGGTGAGGGTGTAGGGCAATGGTGATGAGCTAGGAGTTCTGGTTGGTGTGGGTGGAAAGAGTTGGGTATGACCTTAGTCTTTGACCTTTTTAAAATTTATTTCTTTTAGAGAGAGGGTCGGGGAGGGGCAGAGGGAGAGGGAGTCTTAAGCAGACTCTGCCCTGAATGCGGCACCCGATGTGGGGCTCAGTCTCATGACTCTGAGACCCAGCCAAAACCAAGGGTCAGATGCTTAACTGTGCCACCCAGGCGTCCCTAACTTCCACTTTTAAAGAGCTGGTGGAGTAGGTGAGGCTGTGGGAGGCAAGTGCTAACGTTCACCCTGCGGTTGGAATTGCTATAGCCTCAGCTGGTAAGGGCAGAAACTGCCCCTGCAGGGAGTCCTGGAGCATCCTCTAAGTGGAGAGCACAGTCTAGAATCTCAGCTCCCACTCCACTCATTCTTGTGGTGAGCCCCGCAGTGGGTAAGTGCTTGTCCGGTGGGTGAGTGCTTGGTCCCTTGCAGGTACATCCCTGAGGGCCTGCAATGCTCCTGCGGCCCCGACTGGTACACCGTGGGCACCAAATACCGCAGCGAGTACTACACCTGGTTCCTCTTTATCTTCTGCTTCATTGTGCCTCTCTCCCTCATCTGCTTCTCCTACTCGCAGCTGCTGGGAGCCCTCCGAGCTGTGAGTGATTTTTGTGAGGTTCGGGAGGGGGGCGGTCAGGGGGCTCCAAATGAGCCGGAAGAGTGGGTGAGGGCTTTAGAACAGGAGACATCTGGAAACGTCCACAGCCAGGTAGAGGGGGTATCTAAAAGCAGTGAAGGAAGTGGGGGCAGGGAGTATGATGGAATGGTGGGAAGAGTAGGGCTCAAATGTGTGGCAAGAGATTCGTGTGATTCCTTCCAAAGTCACAGACCAGAGAGCCGTCTCCACCCGCCTTCCTCAGGAAAGGAGAGCAAGAGGCACTAGGCCAGAAGCTGGGACAGAAGAGCGGCCATTGGAGAGGATGCCCCCCTGGTAGGAAAGGGTGGAGATGTGGGAGTTAAGGGCCAGGGAGAAGAGGATATTTCTCTGTGCTCTGCCCAGGTTGCAGCCCAGCAACAGGAGTCTGCTTCAACCCAGAAGGCCGAGCGGGAGGTGAGCCGGATGGTGGTGGTGATGGTGGGGTCCTTTTGTTTCTGTTACACGCCCTATGCTGCGATGGCCATGTACTTGATCAACAACCGGAACCACGGGGTGGACCTACGGCTGGTCACCATTCCTGCCTTCTTCTCCAAGAGTGCTTGTGTCTACAATCCCATCATCTATTGCTTCATGAATAAGCAGGTAAAGCTCTCTATTTACACTCCTATGAAACCCCGTTGGTAAGACCTGGTTCTTTTCTAACAACTTTTGATTCAGAGCACCTTAGACTCCACTCAAAAGGTTCTGAGGGGTGAACAAGGGAAGCTCTTGGTAAGCACAGGGAGATGGGTGTGGTTACCGAGACAAGGTAATAGAATCCAGAGAAAACAGAACTTGAGCCATAAAAATCAGTTTGCTCCGAGGGGCAGGATGTGAAGCGAAAGGAGTTTTTCTGAAAAACTAATAGATTAATCATTCTCCTAAATTCCTACTCCTTCCATTTCAGAAGCCCTAAATCCTTTCCCTTCCAACTGCCAGCTTGCAAGAGTGTATGCAAAAGCACAGGAATCCAACACATTTATAAATCTCTAACACAGCTTATCACCTGAAGGTACCAAGTGGCCTCCTATCCCAAATTCTGTATCTGAGCTAATAAAAACCCAAACTTAGATGAATCTAAGAGAGTTCTTCTCTTGTGGGGCAAACTCCCTGCTTTGAGAATTAATAGCTATTTTGTTTCCTCAGTCCACAAAGACGGATTCAAAACTTCTGGATGGGAACAAAACTGGCAATTCCTTCCAATTGGGAGCACCCCCTAATAATGGTGGGGTGGGTGGGCAGGCCTACTCTGGCCTTGCTTTTGAGTATTTTGATGAGGCAAGTGCTGCTTGGAGGTTTCCTGACAGTGAAGCCTCTGAGCCAAAATATGTAGGGATTATTAATGTAGACCCAGGAATAGCTCTAAGGATTAGGCATTTGTATTCAAAACCACCTGAGAGGACACCTGCTGGCTCATTCAGGTAAGTGTCTGCCTTTGGCTCAGGTCAGGATCTCTTGGTCCTGGGATAGAGCCCCGTGTCAGGCTTCATGCTCAGCATGGAGTGTTTTTCTCTCTCTCTGTCCCCCTCCCTCCACTCGTTCTTTAATAAATTAAATCTTTAAAAGAAAAAAAACAAAAAACAAACCATGTGAGGAGATCCTGGGTATAAGGCATTGCACAAGGCTTTGGGAATACAAACAAAGAGATCTCTTTGTCCCCCATATTTCTTGATGTCACTTCCTCTGTACTGGTCACAAGGGGCTAGCTCCAATTCTGCCCTTTCCTTCCAGTTCCGAGCCTGCATCATGGAGATGGTGTGTGGGAAGCCCATGACAGATGATTCTGAAATGTCCAGCTCCCAGAAAACAGAAGTCTCTTCTGTCTCTCCCAGTCAAGTTGGCCCCAACTAAGGAGCCATACTGGCTTATCTGCAGCAATTAGGATTTTACATTTAGAGAAATTTCTTCTCTCTCTCTCAAAAACCAAACTAACAAATGCAGAGTAAGATGGGAAGGGAATAATGGGAATTCAGGGAGTCAACTTTCCATTTTCCTACTGCTCCTTTCCTACCTACAAAGCTATTGTTCCAACTGGGTCTACTTCAGGTCACTCCAAAGGCCATGTCAACAATCCTCAATTTCTACTCCTAAGTGGCATCATTCATAGCATTTGGAGAACTGATTAAGTATGAGGCCACTATAAAGGAGTATGGATTTTTCAGTGTATGGATAAGCCACTAGGGAAATTCAAATCAAAAGCACATTGAGATACCACCTTACACCAGCTGGAATGGCCAAAATTAACAGGACAGGAAATAACAAGTGTTGGAGAGGAAGTAGAGAAAGGGGAATCCTCTTACACGGTTGGTAGGAATGCCAGTTGGTGCACCCACTTTGGAAAACAGTGTGATTTCTTCAGAAATTAAAAATAGAGCTACTCTATGACCTTGCAATTGCACTACTGGTTATTTACCCCAAAGATACAGATGTAGTGAAAAGAAGGGCCATCTGTACCCCAATGTTCATAGCAGCAATGGTCAACTGTGGAAAAAGCCAAGATGGCCTTCAACAGACAAATGGATAAAGAAGATATGGTCATTATATACAATGTAGTATTATGCCTCCATCAGAAAGGATGAATACTTAACTTTTTATCAACATGGACAGGACTGGAAGAGATTATGCTGAGTGAAATAAGTCGAGCAAAGAGTCAATTACACGTTTCACTTACTTGTGGAGCACAAAGAATAACATGGAGGACATTAGGAGAAGGAAAGGAAAAGTGAAATTGGGATAAACCAGAGGGGGAGATGAAGCATGAGAGACTATAGACTCTGAGAAATAAACTGAGGGTTTTGGTGGGGGGTGGGGGTGGGTATGGGTGAGCCTGGGGGTGGGTATTAAGGAGGGCACATATTGCATGGAGCACTGGGTGTGCTGCATAAACAATGTTGGAACGCTGAAAAATATAAAATAAAATTAAGATGTTAAAAAAATTAAAAAATTATCTCCTTTTTTGTGATTTTTTTTTTCCTTATTGGGGGATCTGTTCGGAGATGATACATTTGGAATTAGAACAAACTTAAACACCCTAGAAATGGGAGATATAAAGAAAAAACCAAAACCTTGAGTAGGCCCAAAATAGGAGTTTGAAAGACCATCTTTATGCCACCACAGCCAATAACCCAATAGTTCTGGCAGGGACAGCCATATCCAGAAGATCCCGAGCCAGCATGAATTATTCGAGCTCCTCCCACCAAATTTGGCTAAACTTATACATCTGTCTTAAACTCCATTATTTAGTAAAGTTAACAGTTAATTCCCTTCATGTTCTCAAAATGTCTATGTACCTCTTAATATCATTTATAAACTATATACCAAAATGTTCAAAAAACTGTTTTACTTTATACTTTATGCTTCCCCTCTGCACCCCCTGAAAAAGAGCCTTGTTGAAATAAAAGTCAAGATAAATGTTGTGTGTACATTCAGGAATGGCTTGTGTTTGGTATCTGATAATTATGTAATGAGCAGCTGGACTCCTCTCCAGTCATATGGCCCAAGGAAAGCAAAGACGGGAAAGAAGGGTTACAGCTGTAGTGAGAAAGATGCTAGAAAATTTCAGAAATAAAAAAGGAATAGCTAATCTGGGAGAAGGCAGAACTTCTCTGGGATGGGGAGGAAGCATGGTAAAACTTCTAGACCTCCTTTTCTTGAAATTTTTAGCACCCATCTTTCTAAGCAAGAATTCCATTTCTTAAGAGAATAAAGGACATACTCATACCCCACCATGAATGTAAACAGTTTTATTTAGAAACAGATAGGTACCTGTTTGCATTATAGAATATAAAACTTGGTTTACACTCTATAAAAAATAACCAGTATCCAAATTTAAGAGAGCTAGCATTCACAGAACACACAATGTGGGTGTGTAGCTACTGTTCACCAGCCTCAGGCTTGACTGAAACCAAAAAGATAATCCGGGGTCATCAGAGGTTAGAGTATGCTTGCTGCTGAGCACCCAGTATCCAGAACTTGCCATTTCAGCATATGAAGGTTTGCTTTCTAAGTGCGTAACTTTAACATCAGGCCTGGGTTCTCTGTACCTAGTGAGCTGCAGGGCCCTCCTGCCGCACCGTTCATGATGTGCCCTCTCTAATCCTGGGTTGATGTTATCATCTTTGATCTTCTGAATGATAAAAATGGGGAATCTGGAGAGCAGAGAATTTACATTCCCCTATACTGGGGTTAAAAAGAGTGTATCCACTCTCAAGAGCTCAATGCAAAGGCCAGGATCAAATTACGTTCCAGTCTGGCTTTTAACCAGGCCAAGTAGTCCACTTCAACATGATCATGGAAGACCAAAGGATACACCTAGGTTCAGATTATAATAATCACCCAGCACCACCTGAATGTATTATCCAGAAAGATATATGAAATAATAAAGGTTAGATATACATATATTTATCTTAGTAACCTGAGGCTAAAAAGGTTTGGAATACAATAATTCTTCTCAAAAGAGGTCCATCTTTAAGAAAAGGACCAAAAAAGACAGAGTTCGTGTTACATAAACTATGGGTAAAGGTGAGTTGGGAACAGAAGGCGGCTTCTTCAGCTCTTTCTACAACGTCCCTCTCTTTGACAAGGATTGGCAACCTGCTGATCCACGATAAACTTTTTTGGGGGCAGCGCAGAGAGGGGGCCATGGGTCAAAGGCAAGAAGGTTGAGCTACGGTCCTCAAACCAAAGAGTCCTCTCAGTAGGCCCTCTCATCTTTAAGTCTGAGTTCAAGCTCTTCAGCTGACACAGAAATAGGCCTGGTAGTAAGTGGTTAGCATTCTGAGGTATGAGGATCCCTGGTAAATTCAGCAGCATGTGGTTTTTGGAAACCAGCCCACAAGATAAGAACACTGCAACCAAGCTCCTAACTAATACTGCTATTTAACCACTGTCTGAAAGAGAAAGGGAAGAGAAGGGAAAAAAAAAAATCCCCAATACATTGGGAGGTTGTAAGCGTCATATAAGGTGGCCCAAATAAACTCTTTATTTCATCTCAGGGTTTCTCAAGAAAACCCTCATTTGGTGATCATTCCTCTCATTAAAGGCACTTTCAATGAAATGACATAATTGGAAAGGAGTACATTTTAACTGTAGTGAAAGCAAGATTAATTCCTAGGAACACCTGGGGAAATAGGAGCTGAACGGGGCACTCACAGTGATTCAAAAGGCAAGAAAGTCTTGAGCACTTCAACAGATGCACACCCAAAAGAAAGTGTGTGCCCTGAAAACACTTGTATTTTTCCCTTAGTTTTCCAGCTGTTTCTATGTATAGCTCTGTAAAGAGATCACACTCACTTGATTGATTTTCAAGACACTGGCCCTAACTCTTCCCACCACAGCTGTGCCTGGCAAAATTAGCAAACAGCTAGTCCTACTGGGAAGAAAAAAACTGAACGAAATCAAGTCGAGCCAAGCTTTCTGACAGCACAGGGATCGGTCCTCGCCCAGATAATGCCACAATCAATTCCTGGACTGAGAGCAACTGAATGGAATATGCAGCCCCTACTACTTACGGAAACAGTTTTCAACAGGCAAGATGAAGTGTCATCTCTCTAAATAAAATAGTGGGGTGTATTTTTTCCCTTTTCTTTCTCCTAAACATTTCTTATTGATCTCAGGCTTAAAAAATTAGTTAAGTCAGAATTACAAAAATTATATGGCAAGGGTTGAGAAAGAGTGAAGGGCTAACGTTTGCCTACAGCGTGAGTTGAGGATGTTGATCCTTCATATCATACTCCCAACCAGAGAACAGATACAAAAATAAACACACCATGTTATACATAATACAAAGGGTAAATCTACAAACACAAGTGTACTAATTAGAGTTGTTCCTCAGAAGCACAGTTCCCTCCAGTACCTCGAAGAGGAGGAGGAATGGGGACGGGATGGTTTTCATTACACCTTTTCAGGTCTTAAAGTTTGTAATAACAGTCTCAGTAGCGCAAACAATTTCATGTGAAACCAGAGGCTGTAAAAATAAATTACTTTGGAAGAAATGTGGATTCCTCTGTCTGCAGCTCAGAACTCATCATGTCGTACTAAGGCCTCACCAAAATCTGTGGCCTGGCTGCCCACAAACAAATCATACTTGTCAACAATCTCCTCCTTGGTAAGCTTGCCGTCCTGAAATTAGAGAGAAGAGTAAATTGAGAAAAAACGATTTCCCATTCCCAATTTAGCAACACCGCTATAAAACACCACTATAAAACAAAACGGGGTTAGTCAGGATTTAAGATTCTAATTCCCACTAAAATAATGTGAACTCAACCGTCACCCCCAACCCTCCACAACATACAAAGAGGGAAGAAAATAGCAATTAACACATTTTTCTTATCAAGAAAGTTAAAAGTGGAAGGGTGGAAATAACAGCTCAGTAACTTAATGCATCAAGCAAAATGTGGGCCATCTCCTATGTATAGGTAAGAGACAGGAAGAACTGGGGAAAATACTTTAAAGTGAATCCAGTCATTGCCTAACAGGAACAATAAAATCTGCTAACGTCCGCACGAAGTCTTCACCCCCGCTATGCCTTAGCCAGCAACAGATTCCAGACACAACCCCCAACGGAGGCTCAGACACTCAGCTCAAAAATTATCTAGGCCGGATTCACAAGGGATGACCCTGAGAGTTTTCTTTTCTCACATATCTCAAGACACAGCACCTGGCTACTGAAGTGACTGCAGCAAGAACTCAAAACAGACCGTCCCTTAAAACAGCTCAGACGATAAGACACTGCATTTGAAAGCAAAGACTGGCCTAGACAGGAGAATGTTCAGAATACAAACCCCTCCATCTTTAGATTGATTTTCAGCCTACTCTAGGCAGAGCATTCAATTGCTGAAAAGGTGACGACTTAGTGAGACTACTGCTCTTTTTATGAAACAAATGCCTCAGATAAATGATCAAGAAAACTTTTAACCAGCTCCAGATAAATGCTGATTTATAACCTACTACAAAGAACTTAATTTTAAAAAGTGTATTTAAGAAGGAAATGACCAACTCTGAGCAGGCAGATGAGCCTGTAATAGGTAAAAGCACAAAGGAAATAACAAAGGGAAAAAAGCAGAGAAAATTTCCTGGGGATCCGAAGACAACAGATGACACACACTGGATACAGGCTATATACAGAGGCTC